AAAAACATTTCAAGACCATGCACTGGTTGAACACTAGCGTTTTCTTGCTGTGGAGTGCGACAGCCTTGGAACCGCGACAGTGAAAAATCTTGTGGCAATATTCAGGACGGAGTATCATCCTTCAGAAGTCACGAAAGGAGCTAAACCACGCTTGGAACCAAACGGAGCGAACCCTCAGCCAAGCCAACTGAATTTCCGTGACTCTGTCGGACCCAGCAYGCCGAAAGTCTTCCAAGTTAGCCGAGTCCAGGAGTCGTATCCTCTTTGAATGAACACTTTCAGACTTTCTTTTCTACGTAACTAGAGTTTGATTTTAATTCTGTCGGAGAATCTGTAGTAGGAGATCCCTCGATCGTTCTAGTATTGGGCTCCCTGTGGTACACGGAGCCTACGGAGATATAGTACAGCGGTCGCTCGGATGGAGACTGACGGAAAACGCCAACGCGTTCTCTCCCAAAAGGCACTCCAAACTGAAATTGAAAAGAAACGTAAAGAGCTAGATGGAGCAACGGAGACGTTACGAATCGCTGTTGAAAACGGGATAGAAAAACAAGAAGAGAACAAATTGCAGGTACTTCAAAAGTCGACTGAAAAATACAAGGAAATACTGCTCCAGCTAGGAGAGCTATACCAGCAGGATCGATTGGGAGAGTATAAAGAAGAAGCGAAGTTACTTCGCGAGTACAGCCGCTTGGAAGGTGCGCAAAAAGTGATAGCCCAGACAAAAGATAACGGCGATGACAGAGCCTCCCAACGAACGCAAAGGCCTCACTCCACAGCCTCGAGGTCATCGCGCCGGTCATTGGCGACAAGCACGGCGAGGAGGCAAGCCCTAGCCGATGCGGCCGCCACAACGAAACAAGCGGAGTTCGACAAGCYTATGGCACAGAAAGAACAAGCTCGTCGTRTGCAAGAAGCGGAAGAGCRGAGAAAGAAAGAACAAGAACAAGCGAAACACGAACTCGAAATGGCCTTGCTAGCTGCGGAACGAGCCCAAGCTATTGCGAACGCCAGACTAGAAGCCATCGACAAGTGCATTCAGGAAGAACTAGAGCAAGATCTAGGAGAAGAGGATTTGGACAATGATGGTCCTAAGATCCCTGAACCGTGCCTGGATCCACGTCTGGATCCGGAAGAACGTGTGGAACGATGGTTGAGTCTCAATCGGTACCAACCAACCGTAGCAGAAGGAACGTACCACCAGAAAAAAGAGACTTACGAAAAACGACATCCTCTGACGTCATCGACACCAAAGCCGGAGAACACCATCGGGCTACTGGAAACCTTCACCGCCACGAACCAGCGCCTCGTRTCTGGACTGTCAAAACAGAGCCTACCAAAGTGCCACCCCGACGTTTTCGGAGGGGAAGTCACCCTTTTCCACCCCTGGAAAAAGGCGTTCAAAGCAATGCTATGTGACGCTGAAGTTACGCCAGCACAAGAGATGAACTATCTCAGAAACTTCACCAAGGGAGAAGTCCAAACCGTAGTGGATAACTTCCGACGAAGACACCACTCAGACCTGTCAGTCGTTCTCCGAGATCTCTGGGAGGAGTTAGAAAGGCGCTTCGGTAACACAGCTGCAATTACCAACGCGCTGCTCGAACGTCTTACGCAAAAGGCCAAGTTCGCCGAAAAGGATCTACAAGGACTACAAACCTTTGCAGACCTATGTGGAGATGTTGATAGCCAGATAGAATACTTACCAGGTTTGTCCTGCTTGAATTACCCAAACGTGATGCRTCCAGTCGTCGAGAGGCTTCCCAACTTCACGAGATCACAATGGGAGAAAGAAATCGTCGCCTACGCGACCGAGAACAAAGACGCATATCCTAATTTCCACGTGTTTGCCTCCATGGTCCAACGACAGGCCAGACAAAAAAAACCATCCTAACGTCCAAGCGAGTGGAGTACAAGTACAGTCCCATGCTCTAACAGAAAGGCCTGCAAGAAGAGTTCCAAGGGACGAACCTGCGAGACGCGTCTTGAAGACCAGCAAAACCAAGGGAGAAGAGAAACATTGTAAGTTTCACGACCGCACTGGCCACTCAATATTCGAATGCAAAGCCTTCGAGGAAAAGTCTCTGAACGAAAGAAGCGAGTGGGTTCTGAAGGAAAGGCTTTGTTTCCGCTGTCTTGAACCAGGACATYTATCAAAGGAATGTAAAGCCATAGTGTCTTGCGAGAAGTGCGAAAGCAGTCGCCACCCGACCATTCTTCACAAGGATAAAGAGGAAGAAATCAAGCCCAACTGCACGTCGGTCTGTCAAAGGGGAGGGACATCYTGCAGCAAAATACTGCTCGTCGACGTATATAGCCAGCATCGACCCAAAGAACTTCATCGAGTGTACGCCATTATGGATGATCAAAGTAACGCATCCCTAATCTCACCGGAACTGGCGAACAAGTTGAAGTCCTACGGCTCACCAGAGAGATACTTGTTATCGACATGCAATGGAGAGAAGATAGTGAACTATGGTCGCCGAGTCGCAGACGTCATGATCACAGCTAGCGGAAAAACACTCAAGCTTCCAACCCTAGTAGAGTGTACACACATCCCACGGGACAAGACTGAGATTCCCACGCCCGAAGTAGCGAAACGCTTCGACCATCTACAAAGCATCGTCAGGGAGATCCCACCTSTAGACGGTCAGGCGGAAGTCCACCTTCTTATAGGCAGAGACGCCCCCGAGTTGCTGAAGGTGAGAGCTTTCAAGAACGGCCCGAAGGGAGCTCCATGGGCTCAAAAACTCGACCTAGGCTGGACAATCTCGGGTCAAGTGTGCTTAAACCGCATTGGAGGCCCATTTCATGTCTCTACGAAGCGCACTACAACATGGCACCCCTCGACAGGTGACCTCACAGAMGGCAACTTCGAGGTAGAGGCTTTGCCCTGCCCGAACCACTTCCAAGTCAAAGAAAGTTTCAGTGACCACGCACGTAAGAAAATCGAGGACGACGTGTACCACACAACCTCATCTGATAACGATGTCAACCTCTCGATAGAGGATAGGAAGTTTCTGAAAATAATGGAAGAGAATATCCATAAAAATATRGAAGGAAACTGGGTAATGCCACTACCTTTTCGCTCAGAGAACGTTAATACGCCCAACAACAGGAAACAAGCGGAGAGCCGCCTTGCCGGACTCCTGAAAGTTCTGAAGAGAAAGCCTCAGATGGAAAAAGACTACTTAGAATTCATGGCTAAGATCCTGGAGAAGAAGCATGCAKTGCCGGTCCCTGACCCACAACCGAAATGTCGCGATGACAACGGAAAGGTGTGGTACCTGCCGCATTTCGGAGTCTACCATCCAAAAAAGCCTACGCAGATCCGCGTGGTATTCGACTCCTCTGCAGAATTCAACGGAGTGTCGCTCAATAAAGAGCTCCTAACAGGCCCAGATCTCATGAACAACTTGTTCGGAGTACTTCTACGCTTCAGACGCTACAGCGTTGCCGCAATGTGTGACGTGGAGCAGATGTTCCACTCGTTCAAGGTCAAGCCCGAACACCAAAGTTTCCTACGGTTCCTGTGGTACAGAAACAACGACCCGACAGACGGCATCATCGAATATCAGATGACGGTGCATCTCTTCKGCAACGGACCGAGTCCCGCCATAGCCACATACGGCCTTCGCAAAACGGCGCTTGACGGCGAGGAGGAACATGGCGAGAAGATCAAAGAGTTCATCTGTAGGAACTTCTACGTTGACGACGGACTGATCTCGTGCAACACAAAAGAAGAGACGATCAATCTCGTGAGAAACGCACRAGCAGMACTARCAGCCGCAAACATACGCCTACACAAGGTGGTCTCCAACTCCGTGGAAGTAATGGAAGCCCTGCCGGCTCAAGACAGGGGGAAAGACGTTAGAGATCTAGACTTGCGCAAAGATTTGCTCCCAAGTCAACGCACTCTAGGAGTCCAATGGAACTTACAAGAGGACAAGTTCACCTTTAAGGTATCCATTCCAGACAAGCCGTTCACCCGAAGAGGGATACTTTCAGTGATCAACTCAATCTACGACCCAATGGGTATGGCAGTACCGGTCACCTTGAAGGRAAAGCTCTTCCTTCAAAGGGTTGTTAACATTGGGAAAACGGCAAATAGCGACCGCTTGGGCTGGGATGACCCCCTACCAAAGGATCAAACGCAAGAGTGGCAACGCTGGAGAGACGCGCTTTCAAACCTTGAGAGTTTCTCCCTTCCGCGCTGTATTCATCCGGAAGACTTTGGATTGATCTCCAGAGCTGAAGTCCATTCCTTCTGTGATGCAAGCGAAGAAGCAATCGGTCTAGTAGTCTACCTTCTCTTGAGAAATGACCGCAACGAAGTACACACAAGTTTCCTGTTTGGTCAGTCCAAAGTTGCACCGATCAAGCCTACGAGTATCCCGCGCCTTGAGTTGTGCGGTGCAGTACTTGCCGCACAGGCTGTTACAAGAATCTTGACTGAAATAGACATGCAGATCGATGAGGTAATCTTCTACACGGACTCGAAAGTCGTCCTAGGATACATCCACAACGAAGCCAGGCGCTTCTACACGTATGTTGCCAATAGGGTACAGATCATCCGGACCATCTCASACCCTCATCAGTGGAGATTCGTGGACACCGAAAATAATCCAGCAGACCTCGCCACCCGCGGCGTTGAAGCAGACAAATTGGAGGCGACGATATGGTTCAGAGGCCCAGCCTTCCTGACGTGTCGCGATGCTGCAACGCCCTCATCGGGGAATGTAACTCTACTCGAGAATGATCCGGAGGTGAGGAAAATTACAACAAAGTCCACAAACATCGAAAACTTCGGCGTCTCAAGAATCACCCGCTTTTCGACGTGGACATCCCTGCAACGAAGTGTCGCGATGCTGATAGCCAAAGCTAGAGAGATAAATGGAGACCGCAGGAAAGACCCAGACTTCGATCCTCTCAGCACCACAAACAGCTATTTACGTCCCACAGTGACGGAATTCGAAAAAGCAACAGCCATCCTCACCAAAATAGTGCAGAGCGAGACCTTCTCAGATGAAATCGCTCAACTCAAGGGCCTACAGGAACAGGTTGATAGCCAGCGTGACACCTCGAGGAGAAAACGGAGCACACTTAAAAGGTCTCCACTATACGGTCTAGACCCTTTCGTAGATGAGAACGGCATCCTACGAGTTGGAGGAAGGCTACGACGCTCCCCCATGGACTTCAAAGAGAAGCACCCTTCAGTACTGCCAAAGAACCATCACTTGTCGGAGTTATTAATCCGCCWTTACCATYAAGCTGTCCACCATCAAGGAAGACAAATTACTCATGGTGCCGTACGCCAAGCGGGTTACTGGATAATATCGGGTCATGGAGCAGTGACAAAGGTCCTCAGCACTTGCATCACCKGCAAGAAGGCAAGAGGAAAGCCGATGACACAACTCATGGCAGACCTGCCGAAAGAGCGCACAGAACCAAGCCCACCCTTTACAAGTATCGGTATTGACGTCTTCGGTCCATGGTATATCACAACTCGCAGATTACGAGGAGGTGCGGCAAACTCCAAACGTTGGAGCTTGCTGTTTACCTGTCTCAGTTCTCGAGCCATCCACATCGAGCTCCTCGAAACCATGGACGCTAGCTCCTTCATTTGTGCACTTCGCAGATTCTTCGCAATCCGAGGACCCGCTTCAGGAATCCGATGTGATCGTGGCACCAACTTCATTGGTGGGAAGTCCGAGTTAGAGCAGTCCTTATCAGAAGCGGATCAACGAAAGATTGAGCGCTATGCGACGGAGCACGGCTACGAATGGGCATTCAATCCACCCCACGCCTCTCACTTTGGCGGAGTGTGGGAACGACAAATTCGCACCATACGTAGCGTACTCAACAGCATGCTGACCCAAATTGGAAGTTCTCAACTGACTCACGAGCTGCTATCTACTCTGATGGCTGAAGTCACCTCCATAGTAAACTCACGCCCAATAGCCACTGTTCCGTCTGAAGCAGATGACGCTCGACCCCTATCACCGTCAATGCTACTCACAGCAAAGGAAAGACCCCTCAACCCCCCACCAGGAGACTTCGTCCCGGAAGACTTGTACGCACGAAGGCGATGGAGGAGAGTGCAATACCTGGCGGACCAGTTCTGGACCAGATGGCGTCGTGAATACCTGCAAAACTTACAGAAACGACCAAAATGGCAGGACCCCAGACCCAACCTAACGGAAGGAGATGTGGTGCTTATCAAAGACGAAGAAAGTCATAGAAACCATTGGCCCCTTGGTAAAGTCATCAAGGCCTTTGAGAGTGAAGACGGCAGAGTAAGAAAGGCCGAAGTCCGCAAAGCAGATGGCAAAGTTCTTCTCCGACCAGTCTCCCAGCTAGTGTTTCTCGTGTCATCCACCCACGACTAGGTAGTTGACCTGGTGGCTTTAAAGGAACATTACACGAACTCTAGTTACAGTTACATTTTTTGTTTTAGAATTGATTCTTCATAATGTATGAACTCYAGTTTCATATCCTATTAGCAAGGAGTTGTATCCTTGGGCGAGGAGTGTTACGTTTAGTGTTTATATTTTTAGGCTATTAGTGTCTCAAGCGTTTATTTGCATTAATACCTAACCTATCCTTTCTTGTTCGTATTTCGTTT